CCCCTCCCGCCCCGGCTCCCCCCCCCCAGCCTGCCCCAGCACCCTTGCTCCCAGAGACCCATCTGCAGCCTGCTCTTGCACCCTCCTTCCCACCCAGGCCCCCCACCGCCTCCTGCACCCATTTTGTCATCATGGCTGGTTGGCTGGTCGCCATGAAAAGGTTGCGTTGAGCGGGAAGGGCCAGAGGCCAAAAAGCTTGAGACCCAGGAGCCTAGAGCTGCGTGATCCTCCTAATCTTGTGTCACTTCCTGGGGGTGCTGGAAAGGGGGGTGGGTCTGGTTGCAGATTTGAGGGGATGCAAAAGGCCAGGCTTTGCTGCCAGACCCAAAGATCCTGTCCAGCCTCAAGACCCTGCCATTGGCTTAAACAGTTTAAATATATATGAAAAAAGGAGGGTTCTTGTCCAGGAGAGAGTGTAGCCTAGTGGCTACTGTGCTCTAGTCCTGGTTCTGCCATTGGCCTGCTGGGTGACCATGAGCTAATCTCCGCCCCGCTCTGTGCCTCAGTTTCTCCATCTATAAAATGGGATCACGATCCTGACCTCCCTTGCCGAACGCTTTGAGGGCTACTGGAGTAAAGTGCTTGGGAAGAGCGAGGTGCTAGCGCTGCTTTTGGGGGCGTGCTCGGGCCAGACTGCCAACCGTGCGGGCCAGCGCCTTGCCTGTTCCCTCTGCTCACCTGACTCCCAGAGCTGGGGATTTAGCGTGCACAGCAAGGCTGGGGCTTGTGCCGTGGGAGTTGGCACCCGGAGCCGGGGGCGTGACAGTGAGCTGAGACGCGCAAGCCGCACCGTTCAGAACTGGCTCCAGCTGGCGAGGCTCAGAGGCTGGAACCAAGGGGTGGGCTGGGCCCCTGCCTTTGGCAAAGGAAGACCAGCCCGGCCCGTGTGCTTCCCGTTGCTCAGATCCTGCAGATGAAGGTGCGGCGGCTGGAACACCTGCTCCACCTCAAGAACGTTCGGATCGACGACCTCACGAGGCGCCTCCAGCAAGTGGAGCAGAAGCGGAAATGAGGCGGGACTCAGTTTCCCTCCGGCACCCTTCCCTGGGCCCCTGCCTTTGGCAAAGGAAGACCAGCCCGGCCCGTGTGCTTCCCGTTGCTCAGATCCTGCAGATGAAGGTGCGGCGGCTGGAACACCTGCTCCACCTCAAGAACGTTCGGATCGACGACCTCACGAGGCGCCTCCAGCAAGTGGAGCAGAAGCGGAAATGAGGCGGGACTCAGTTTCCCTCCGGCACCCTTCCCGGGGACCTGAACAGCGGCCCAGGGCTCCTAGCTCCTTACAATGCGAGGGCAAGACTGGGACTGGAGAAACGAGCCGGAGAGTCCAAGAGTGAAAAATGCACCAACACACGTGGAAATTGCACACTCAGAAGTTCACCTCCCTGTTGTGCCCACGAGTGCTGTGATTGGCTTCGTGCACCTCCCGTGCACGCACCGGCACTCCGTCCACGTTGCCTTCCTGGCAGTTGTGGCCAAGTGTGCAGGCACTTGCACAAGTACAAGGCACGCTAGTGCAAACGTGTGCCCACAGCTGGGCCTTACAGGGAGTGGGCCGTGGGTTTGGAGAGCCAGGGCTTCTATCCATCACCAAATGCAGCGAGTTTCCCTCAGGCCGCTGACTCCTTTGCTTTCCGTGCGTTGTGCCAGTGCACTTGGCAACGGTGAGCCCGAGCCGCCCCCTTATCCCACCTGGGACTGGGGGTGACCATCCGAGAAGAGGCGCGGGGGGCAGGGTTCTTCACAAAGGTGCTTTTCTATAGGCACCGCCCTGGAGCCCCACCAAGGGCAGCCCCCGTGGCAGGAGAGGGGAGGGCCAGTCCATGCACAGGTCAGCCTGCCCAAGCGCAGGTGGGCCAGCTGTGGGGCTGGCGCTGCATGGGCTGCAGAGTGGCGCAGTGGTACTGAGGGCCGTGGGCCGGGTCCCGGCTGGGGTAAATGGGGCAGCGGTACTGAGGGCCGTGGGCCGGGTCCCGGCTGGGGTAAGTGGGGCAGTGGTACTGAGGGCCGTGGGCTGGGTCCCGACTGGGGTAAATGGAGCAGTGGTACTGAGGGCCGTGGGCCGGGTCCCGACTGGGGTAAATGGAGCAGTGGTACTGAGGGCCGTGGGCCGGGTCCCGGCTGGGGTAAATGGGGCAGTGGTACTGAGGGCCGTGGGCTGGGTCCCGACTGGGGTAA